GCAGATGCCCTCCGGATGGTCTGCTCAGAAGGGAGGTTCTCTTACTTCTTTGGAGGTTACGTTCTCTAGATCCTGGCTCATCATGATGCTTCGAAGTTTGGCTTTGATGAGGCGCTCGGTCCTTTCCCCTTCAGTTGGCCTGGAAAGAAAGCCCCGTTAGCAAAGCACAGAATGATAGGAAGCCTCGGGTCAGAGTTGACAGAGATGTCGAATACTCCTGGGTCTAAGCATAACGTGGTTTGGGCAAGTACAACTAGCTTTTACGTGTGTGCGCATGCGCACGTGCACGTGTGTGTGTGTGTGGGGGGGGAGGATGGGGGATGGCAGAGGAGAGGTACACAGAAAAGCTGCCCTGTCTCAAGGATTCCTGGAGGGGTCAAGAGTGGTGAGTAGAGCCAGAGGACTGACAACGGTTTGGAGAGTCACCCCTCTGGCAGGTCCTGCAGAGATGCCCAGGGCTGGGATGCTGGAGTGGCCGATACAGTAGCCCCACGCCACTGAGCCCTTCAGGCTTTGTCAAGTACAACTGGGCGTGGGGAAGCCACTGTGCTTGTGCCAGCGGAGGCCAGCTCCCACTGGCACCTTCTTACATGGAACCAAGACCTGTGTCTCCTGCAACTGCTACACATCAGCGTTAGAAACTCTAGGGGCCACACAAAACCAGTAATGGGTTGCTGCTGAATCAACTCCAGCTCATGGCGATCTACGTGTCAGGATAGAACTGTGCTCCACGAGGTTTCCAATGACTGATTTTCCAGGAGATTGCCAGGACTTTCCTCTGCAGCACCTCTGGGTGGACTCACATTTGCAAGCTTCCAGTCAGCAGCCAAGCACATTCATCGCTTGTACCATCTGGGGGCCCCAGGGGCCACCCATGCCAGAATAATTCTCCTTCCTCATGACAAGCCTTCAGATATTCAAAGGTAACTCACTTCTCCCGGCCCTTCTCGTTTCTTTCCGGCCTTATACAACATGGCTTCTGGTTGCCCCTTATTCCGACTGCTCCCCTTGGAGTCAGTGGCTGTCAAATCCGACTCTCGTGAGGGCCCCATGTGTATCAGAGGGGAACTGGGCTCCTCAGCGTTTTCAATGGCTGAGTTTTTGGAAGGAGATCACCAGGCCTTTCTCCCAAGACTCTGGGTGGATTTGAACCACCAACCTTTCGGTAACAGCTGGGTGCTTAACTGTCCATGCCACCCGGAGACTCCATTCCTCTCTGAACACCCTGGAGGCTGTCCACAGTCCTCTTAGAGTACAGTTTCCTGGAGGAACACAATACTGTGGAGGGAAAGGGAGACCCAGGTCGAGGGAGAAGGGAAGATGACTCCCTTCTGCAGTAGACTTGAATGAATGTGGCCTCCGATCACGCTCACTCTGCCGGTGGCCACATGACGCTCGATTCACTGCTGCTGCTAAGGCAGGCTGCCCTCGGCTTGTGTCTGCACAGTTGTGTTTTGGGATCCAGGAAACAGGCTGTCACATCCCCAATTCTCCTAACAGCAGAGGAAAGCCAGGCTTTGGCAACCTGAAGAGGGAAGGTCAGACCACAAAGCACTGCCAAGGAGCTGATGGTCCATGCGGGTCATAGTGCTTTGAGAACCTGAGGGAAGTTACGCACCTGCTCGCCACAGATGCACTCACACACAAATCTGCCTCGACTTTTAAGGGATGTGTGTCATAGACACTTCCCCTTGCTAAGGAGAACCCCTGCTGTCAATAGTAGCTGTGCGAATGGTGGCCCTCAGTCACAGCTCTGAGGAGGTATGTCCTGTGCAGACTCGGGGCTCAGGGCACAGACTGGGCATGAAGGAAGGAGACCAGGTGTGCTCACCTGCGGGGGCACGTCCACACTTACTTGTCCACAAACAGGGCTGGGGAGTCGGGCCGCGTGGACTCCAGGTCCTGCATGGCATTCCACTCATTGATACAGCTCTGCTCAGAGCCAATGCAGCTCTCATAGTAGGTGGCCCAGATGAGAGCCACGCCCCCGGGGAAGTAGTTGTGTCTCCGGGCCACTTCGCAGGCCTTGTGCAGGACCTGCAGGGCCGACCTGGTGTGAGAAGGCGAGAGGGTCAGGCCTAGGAGCCATGGGGCTGCTGGGCTTCCCCTCTGGCAGAAGATTTAAATGGGGGTGGTGGAAAGGGCAGGGACTCAGTACTGGATTCGATCTTGCATAGCAGGGTGGGTGGGGGCTACATAGCAGACCTAAGCCAACAACCGCCAGTCAACACAGCCTGTCTCCGGGACATGTGCCCTGAGTTAGAGAGTGGACAGGATATTCTTCACCATCTCCACAACGGGCAAGAAGGTTTCACAGCTCTCTCACATCAGGCTGGTTCACTTGTTACTTTTAATTCCATCCTTCAACTCCAAACAATTAAGCTCTACTTATCAGAGATTGTAGTTACCTCGAACAGAGGAACCACAATGAAGTCTAACAGGGCAAGAAAAGAGTTTAACTGCAGCAGACATTTCACTAATGTCTACATATTCGAAATAGTTCTGTTTCTTAGCCCTCAGCTCCACCCAACCAACTAATGTGGTAATAACATTGTTGTTGGTTGTTCTGGTTACCCAGTGCTGCTCTGACAAAAACATACCACAAATGGGATGGCTTTAACAAAAAGGAGTTTATTCTTACAATTTGGAGGCTTTAAGTCCAAGTTCAAAGTGCCAGGCTCTAGGCACTGGGTGAAAGCCTCTCAACCTTGGGCTTTCAGGTCTGCCTCCTGTTCCCAGCCCAATGGAGCTAGAGGCTTTTCTTTACTCACACAGCTGCTGGCTGCTGAGACCGACAAGCCCAAGGCTGACAAGTAAAAAGGCACAGTCCTAATGTTACCAAACCACATGGCAGGCCATTAATTCAAGTTCACTGAAAGTCCCAAGGTCGGCAGAGCATGGTAGGCTGCTGAACAGCAACGTGACTACATTCAGGGTTCAAGCGTGCCATGAGCTAGAGACCATTCCCAAATCTGCTTCTTATATATAGGAAGCAGACCACATACCCAAAGCAGCTACTCAGTCAGCTGCTTGTGGTAGATCCCACCATGGAGTTGATTGCCAGTCTCATTGTGGGGAGTAACTACCACCAGCTGCCCAGCCACTCAACCAGGCCCAGCCAAGCTGACACACAAACGTAACCACCACATTGGTGGTTGTTAGCTGTCATCAAGTCGGTCCTGACACCCGGAGACCTCCTCTGTGCAGAGCAGAATCGCTCCACAGTGCTGTCAAGGCTGTGACCTCTCAGAGGCAGGCCGCCAGGCCTTTCCTCCAAAACACCACAGGGTGGGGTCAAACTGCCCACCTCCTGGCTGGGAGTTGAGTGCTTAACCGTTCGTGCCACTCAGGGATTCTGATACTACTATAGATGCTGAGATTTACTAAGGAAGTGAGTTCTAGAAACTCACTGTAACTCAGAAAGTAACTGAAGAAAAGGTGTGGAGAGGCACAGTCGGGGCAGAAGACACAACAGTGAAGATTCAACTATGAATGACTGATTCAGTCGCTCGTTTTTACCTCTTGTTACATAAACACAGGCTGAATGTTTCTCAGTGAATGGGTGAACCGGGTATCAACCAAGGGTGGAGAGTGAGGCCTTGGAATGGATGCAGAGTGATCAGAGACCGGCTCACCCATCGGATAAAATAGCTTGCAACCCACTCAACTCTCCCGGTTTTGCATATTTGTCCTATCTCTAGGCTGGCTGAGGGAACAATCTGGGGCTGAGCTTTCTCTAAATTTAGCTCTGGTCCAGAAGTTTTTGGAAAAGCACATGGGCCTATTTTTGCCCTTGCCTGCATTACCCAGGGATACAGAGAAGCCTCCAGACACCTACTGGTTTCCCGCCTGAGAAGGATGATCTCATGGTTTTCTCACAGTGATTCCTGGACTGACTGCAGTGGGAGCAACAGAGTGGGAGATAAGGAAGCTCATACTGACTGCCTGTGGGAGAACCGTGCACCTCACGGCCTCAGAGAAACAGGCAGTGGTTTGGAAACACCGAGTGGAACTCTTCTCATCAGACACCCTGAGCTCTCTCCCGAGTCTCTTCCAGATGATTCTGGATAGATTCTCCTGCTAAATCGGCTGCAAGAGTGCTTTGTGCAATGGATGCTCCAAGGGAGAAGCAAGGCTGTCAGACGTGCAGGGTGCAGAGAAGTTGTGGGGGTGACTCACTCCCCCCAATGCTGCCTCCACCCACAGCTACCTCACCCCAAAAGCAGAGTGTCCCAGTGGGAATCTTACTTACAGGCCTCCAGACTGTTATCCTGTAGCCTGGGACCCTGTGTGAACCTTTCCCCAGCCCATCCTCTTGTGTAACACAAGTCTGTGTTTGTGTTTAAAGAGCTCTGGTGGTATAGTGGTTACGGCATTTGGCTGTCAATCAAGAGGTTGGTGGTTCGAACCCACCAGCTGCTCCATGGAAGAAAAATGAGGCAGTCTGCTTCCATAAAGATTTACAGCCTTAAAACCCAACAGGGGTTGCTATGAGTCAGAACTGACTGAGAAGCAGTGAGTTTGTTTTTTGATTTGGTATTTGTGTTTATGGCCGACTCCCTCAACAGACTGTAGACCCCACGAGGGCAGGAACTGTGTCCATTTTATGTCTCCCCAGATGTGCCGTGCCACTCCCTTCACTGGGCAGGCTGAGTGCCCGCTGACTGTGTGCTGGCTGCCGCAAATGAGAAGAGGCTGCACAGACATTCTGTCAGCAGGAGCTATGCTGTTGGCAGCTGCAGTTAAGTTGGCTCTGACTCACGGTGACATAACAGAAGGACAGGTGGCCAGGTCCTGTGCCATCTTCACGAGTGTTGACATGCTTAGGCCCCCTGAGTAGGTGGTCACAGCCGCTGTGATTTTAAGTGTCTGCCGACCTATGAGGTCTATCTCCCAGCACCATACTGGACAATATTCTGTTGTAATCCATGACTAATTTTTAGAAGCAGACTGCCAGGCCTTCCTTCCTAGTCTTAGTCTGGCAGTTCTGCTGAAATCTGTCCACCATGGGTGACCCTGCTGGTATCTGAAATACTGGTGGCCTGGCTTCCAGCATCCTAGCAACACATGACTATGAGTCACAGCAGTACTATAGGCCGGCAGACGGGTGTGTGAAAATAGCACACCTAAATGAGCTTCTAAGCTTCTAAGCTTCTAAGCAGAAGGTGTTTTCAACCCCTACTGTTGGCTAGGAAGGGGTTTCTCAGGAGGTGATGAAAGCCACTTACCACATGGCCTGGACGGACACGGGCTTAAAGATGTGCAGCCTTCCTGCCGTGCTCACGCTGAATCCTCTGAGTGAAAACAAAAGGAAAGACAGCCTGGTGAGAAATCAGACCCTCCCGTCAAATCACCACAAGACCAAGGGCAGGCCCAGCACGGGCACCCTGAGAACAAGCATGTTTCCTGCTGCCTGATGAGGCTCTATGGCGTCTGTAGATTCAGAGACAGGAGGAGGGCCGAAAGACACGTTCTCAAATCCTGAGGGCCTGGTTTGCACCCAGCAGTGTGAGTACCACCAGAACTGAAAGCCTAGCAGAGCGTAAGGTGATGGCAGGGCAGCGCGTGACAACATCTCTCTCTCCTTCCCCGGGGCTGTCCTGCCCCACCCATTACTCTCCACCCCGCACACTCCAGCTTCTTTGTTTGATAATCGCACAGGAAATATGAGTGGGAAAAAACAAAATTTTCAAAAGGAATATGGAATATTTTCAAAAAGAAAATGTGTGAAGTGTTGAGTGTAAAAGAAATCCACTTCACAAATTTGCACCCAAACCACAATAAAAGATTAAAAAAAAAAAAAGAAATTTAAAAAAGGAGTATCTCCCTGATTCCGTCACTCTGAAAAACCAGATGTAACTTCTCCCTTCCAGTCCTATCTGCGCGTGCCTTGGACCCGCTGGTGATCCCAGTGTGGGCACAACTTCCTCGACTGCTTCCTTCTACCTGTCAGAGCGTCCTGTGTCTCCTCCGGGAGCTAGAGCACCTGGACCCAGACAGCCCCTCATCGCTCATACACAGTGAAGAATTCCTCCTCTGCAGCCTCCAGGTGGCACCTGAAACTCTGTTGTACATCGTGTTCATTGTGTCTCTTTGCCCCAGGTGCCTGCAAAGCCTCTGAGTGCGTGCTGTATCTCCTTCACCTGTGAACTCCCAGGGACCATCTGTGTGGAGGGCATGCTATGAGTGTTCACTGAACAAATCAAGGCAAGTGAATGGCCACCATTCACTCTGGTACTCTCCTTGAACTCTGGGCAGCACGAGGTCTCCTGTAACAGCTTCCTTTGCTACTTCATGACCCGAGCCCCTTGTATCATGTCCAAAAGCTGCCCTTCCTTGTGCAGCTCACAGGAGGGCAGACTGCTAACATACAGGCTGGTGATTCAAACCCACCCAGCTGCTCAGCGGAAGAAAGGCCTGGCAATACGCTTCCATAAAGATCACAGCCCAGAAACCCAATGGGGCAGTTCTGCAGTGTCACCTGGAGTTGCCATGAGTGGGCATGGACTTGACAGCAACAAGCCCAGTTTTGTGGAAGGTGTAATATACACATCATTTGTGGAAGGTGTAATACACAGATCATTTGTGGAAGGTGTAATACACACATCACACGGATGGCTCAGCCGCTGGCGTTCCTCTGAGGATACGCAGCCTAACTTGTGTTTCAAAGGTGTGTTTGGAAGAATCTTGTGGAAAGCCCTCCTTACCCGTCTCCATCCAGGTGGATTTTCGTGTCACTCCACAGCCGGAGCACCATCCCGATGGTGCAGCTCTTACTACGTGGGAGGAAAGAGAAGATGCCGACAGTTAGTGTCCACCCTGCCTACAGTCTTCCCTCTCTCGGTCTCCTGTCAGCCTTGCCGGCCCCCGATGGGTGACATTACTGCACCTGGGACAGGCTGCTGGGCATGTATCCAGGAGAGGCTCCTAGGATGTCTGGGTAGGGACCACCACCCATCACTGGATTCTAGAAGACACTGCTCTTATGGGGGAGAGGGGTGTCCAGTGACCTCTGTTTGGTCCTGCTTCTCCTAGAGCTGCCCCCAGGTGGCCTGTGACCCCCTCATGCCATAAACAGCAGGTCTCAGCTGAGGGTACAGGAGCCACCAGCTAACCTCAGGGTGGGGTCACTTGTGGGCAGAAAACCTCTTGTGTTGGTGTCTTTTACAGAAACAGCTGGATCTGGCTCTGGTTTGCCCATCTTAATGGTGAGATGATAGCCAGTAACTAGGGGCTGGAGCCACAGAGGGAAAGGCAAAGCTTTATCAGACAGTCTCCTCACATTATGAGGAGAGCCATTTTGTGAGGAACTGCTGCTATAACTGTGCCAAAGGCCAGCCTGCCACCCACCACAACCCTGGAGCTCACAGCTCTGCTCCCACCTAACAGCCCTTGAAGAGAAAAGTCCTCTCCTGCTCCCCAAGCCAGGCCCTCCCCAGAGCAGCACCGACCGTGCAGGACCTTCCGATCCTGAGCATGTCACAGTGGGTGAACTGGCTTCATGCCCTTAAGACCGAGGCGAACTCCCAGGTTTCCCGCCCCGTGGACCTGCCCATTCCTGGTGGGTAAGAATTGTGTTTCCTTTGTAGAGCTGCACAACAAAAATGACACTGAGACTCACACAGCCCCTGGGCCTTGGCTGGTCAGTGCTAGGAAGAGGCAAGGAGGGGACTGCTAGGAGCCCAACACAGGCCTGCAGAGAATGCCCTGGGACCAGGGTGGGCAGGCCCCTCTGCAGCACTGACCGCCCAAGCCAGGGTCTGGTCCTGAGGCACAGCACCAGTGCAGAGAGCCGGGAGGAACAAAGGATCTGGGGGCCCAAGGGCCCAGGCCCCACTGAGCCTAGATTTCCCGTTGGCTAGCTAGAGACCTGATTTGCAGAGAAAACACAGGAGGGGGTTCTTCCTGGGCAGGCGAGTCCAGGGCTCAGCAATCAAGCTGTCCATATGAAACAAGGATGGTACCTAACCTGCCTTCCCCAGACACAGCAGGGCACAGGGCACGAGGGGCTTCCACCCATCATCTCCAAATGGAGACAGGATAGCGACCAGGGACATGAATGCCTCAACTCTGCAAACTCCCCAGTGTTCCCACAGTGCTATTTTTGGAGTTTCCAGTATTCCTCAGTGGTGGCTGTTGTAGCTGCCATTGAGTTGGCTTCCACTCATGGTGGCCTTATGTGTAACAGAACAAAATGTTGCCTGGTTAGTCAAAACTGCCTGGTATTGGTTCAATGACAGATACATAGACCAATGGAATAGAATTGAGAACCCAGGTATAGATCCATCAACCTATAGTCA